GCCAGGACGTGGGACTGGTCTGTAAAAGGGAATGGCTTGAGTGCTTTTTTATGTGTTCCTGTGGAGCATGTGCTTGATGGGCTGAGGGTTTTGTAGTCTCCCAGCCAGCTGCATCCCTTCCCGGGACACAGCACTGCTGTGGCTGTGTGTGCTGCCAAAGCCACCCACAAAGAATGAGGGGTGAGAAGGGAAGGCTGCTGCCCCAAAACGAGTTGCTCAGATGGTGTCAGGCTCGTGCAGGACCGTTAGGCCCCATCTCCTCAAGCAGCTGCTGCTGAATGCTGGCAGGGTCGTTTTCTTGCTGTTGCCTTTGTCACAATCATAAAGAAAAAGTCGTAGCAGGGAGATCAGAGCCCCTCAGGTGCTTGTGCAATCCCTTGAGTGGATGTGGGGCTCTCTTGCAGCAGTGCAAGTCCCTGTGTGTGCTCCTGGCTTGGGGAGAAGTGTCCCTGCTGTGGTGGCCGTGTGGGTAACTGTCACGTGTGTGCTTTTGTGTCTGCTGGGGCATCCCTCCAGTTCCTATCAGTGGCCTTTTAGTGCCAGAGCTTTCAGCTGCTCTGGTGTTTACCCACTGTACCCTGGGAGTGCTGGCAGGCAGCTGTTGATGATGCTTGTCTAATTTGTTGTAATCTAAACAGACACTGCGAAGCTTGGTTTAGCTGCAGGATCTGCAAGTCTCCTGATGGTCTCAGAACATGTGAGGATGCGTGAATTCCTGTGTAGAATAACCAGATTCATTGTACACGGAGGCTCTTTGCGCTCCCCACCCCTGATACCTTGATTTCTGACAGCGTGACCGGATGGTCAGCGTGAATCCCTGGCTGCTGGGGAGGAGGGGGGCAAGGAGCTGCTTTGTGACCCTGCTGTGAGGTTGGCACACGATGCTCACCTGTGCTGTCCTTTGTGTCCTCCCCCAGGTGCAGACCCGCAGCTCCGATGAGCCCATGACCACCTTCGTCGTGTGCAACGAGTGTGGGAACCGCTGGAAGGTAGCGCACCAAGGATATTACTGGCACTGAGGGGTGTTAGGGTGGCTCTACCCGCGATGCTGCAGATGCTTAGCTGCTCTCCTCAGATGTGCTTGCCAAACGCTGACTAGCTGTAGCGAGTGATCTTTCCTCCCAGCACAGAGGCAAGAGCTTCTGGGTTCATCCCATCTCTGCAGACCAGCTGGGGCTATGTCTCGCTTCTCATTCCCTCTCTATCCTTCCTCACATTCCCTCTTCTGCCATGACCAACTTCACAGTGCTTTTCATGCTCCCTCTGCCACCCAAGAGATGGTGGCGATGACATTATGTAGGATTTTCAAACTGCTTTTATACTGTGTGCGGAGCTCAGATGTGAGCAGCAATGGCACTGCTAGCAAGTGCCAGAGCCACAGCTGAGAAATTCACATAGGAGCTCTATTTAGCCCTTACTGTGGGGGCTGAACCCTGCCTCCAAAGACCCCCCCAAGCCCTTGCCAGCTTCAGAAACAAGACCGTCACCTGGATCCCTCTTCTAGGCAGCGAGCGCATGACCTGCAACTCCCTCAGTGAGGTTTTCTAATCAGGGTTTAAACTCCCTTCTCTTGCAGTTCTGCTGATATGTGCCATGGCCCGAGAGCGGCAGCCAAACACAGATCTGAGTGCAACCTCCATACGCCAGCTCCCACGGCAATTGTGTTTTGTGTCCCAAGTGAGTTTGCATTGTCACGTACTGAGAGAGCAGCTGCAGGGAGGCCTGCCTCTCTGTTTGGGCCTCGGTGGAGAGAGCCACAGTTGTGGGCTGACAGTGGCAGGAGAGCTCGCTAAACACACTTAGTCATTATTTTCTCATCTAAGCAAGTATGGTCACTTTTTCTTCAAAACTAATATTAAACATTTTTTGTCAGTTTCTGACTTTTATTTGTACAGCACTTTGCATTTGTTGTAGAGCTGCACAGAGGCTCAGAAGTGTGTCTGGATGGGTGCTGACTGATCCATGCCTGGACCACGAGACAGCAGAAAGCTGCTTGTAAATAGAGATAGACCCTCAGTGTGTGAAAGCTTGCTTCTAGCCAGCTCTTAAAAGCGAAAACATTGGGCCAATCCTGGAGTGGCTGGGTGGCAGTCCTGGCTTTCCTTACCTTACTGAGACCTGTTGACAGAACAGGACTTTTTGGGCAGTGATGACATGCAGCTGTCCAGATCAGTTGGATGTTGTAGCATTCTTGTGATTTTTTGCATGGTGTCAGATAGCTTGTGATATCATGCCTTTAAATGCCAACAGCACAGGCTGCTGCAGAGATGGTATCAAGAACGTTGCTCTCCACATTGTAACAAACTGAAAACAAGGTGACTCCAGCCACCAGAAAAACCAAATGGTTGGTTTGGAGGAGCAGGGCAAGGGACCCTAGCAGCCAAGGGCTCCCTTAACATCTGGTTGGGCAGGAAGAGCCCAGCAGATCGTTGCTGTTCCTGCTGGCTAAGCTGCTCCCTTTGACTGTCTGCTCCTGATTGCCATTGCAGGGAATGTTTGAGGTGGGCTTGTAGCTGGTGCTTGCAAGGGGGGTGAGATGAAGAAAGCTGGTAGCAAAAGCAAGCTTCAGATGGCAGCTCTGGAGGTGTGACCTTGGTGGGGTCCTGCAGGATCAGGCTGTTGATGGGAGGATAACTGCAGCCTGCTTTTCCTTTCAGTAGTGTTTGATCTTGGTCTAAGACTTAAAATCCCTCTTCTCTCCTGGGTTTCCTAGCTTCTAACTGAGGTGATGCAGCTCTCCAGGGACCTCCCTGTATGGTCACCTCTGCTTTTGTGCTCATAAGCAGCACCGGGGCATTTGCAGTCACATCAATAGCATTGCTCCCATTTCAGAGTGAAAAAGCAAGTATTTCCATTGGCTTTTCAGCATGCCAGACAGCAGACATTTAGCAGAGACCTTGGAGATGTTGGGAGGGGAGTGAGCAGCCACATGAAAGCGACGGGAAACGTGCTTGCAGCCCCTTTGAGAGCTGTGTTCCTCTCGAGGCAGTGATCCCAACAGGATCCTTTGCTCAAGGCTTTCACTTGATGGGGTGAAGCCAAGTCTCCCAAGAAGGAAAAGATTCAAAGATGCTGACAACTTGTTAAGCCTCACGCATCTTGCAGCGGATGGGATTATTCAAGCCAGGCTTGTGAGGGAACAGTGTCCTCACAGTAATGCTCAAAAAACCCTTCAGGATATAAAACCAAAGCTGGCCAAGGCTCTCTGGCTCGTGCACTGTGAACAGGAGCCAGCTAATTACCAGTTGCTGTTGCTTTTCTCGTGTTAATGTAAGAAGAGGAGTGGAGCCTGAGTGCAATCCTAAATTTACATGTGGAGGTTGAGAAACAGAAGGAGCTCCTCAAAAGCTGGGGGATAGCACCTTGTCTCATGGCATTCTGCTGTGCTTCTGGGGCAGTCAGAGGGTGGGAAGCCATGGGATAAAGAAGGATGGAGATTCACTGCCAGGATGCTTAAGTGCTAGGATGGTGAGCAAGTGATGGCACAGCTTACCTGGTGGTGTTGGGTCTGTGTGGGGCTGTCTGTGGAGGATCCAACCTGCCTGCTGCACTCCTGGACAGCATTGGGGATGCTCTGCAAACCCAAATGTGAAGGTAAGATCTCTGTAATGCAGGCTGTGGTGCTGGGGGGCCTCTCACAGTGCTGGCTCCACTCAGTGCCCATAGGGAAACCAGCGTGCTGCACCTCTGTGCCAGGGCTCCTGCTGCTGAGCTGCTGGTTAGCATCACTCATTAGCGCTGCCACACTTCCATCACTCGAGGTACAAGCAGGGGCAGTGCCCTGGGCAGTGAAGCTGTTGCTTTGCTGCTTTTTGTATCCACCAGAAATGCTCTCTTGCTTCTTAATGGCTTCTTGGAACAGGATGGGAGCCCCTGCTGTGGGAGCTTGTCTGACCCACTGGGTCTGCAAGGGGCTCTCAGAGCACTAAGAACCAAATAATAAAAATACCAACATTCCTGAGCAAACGAACCAGCTCTGCTCTCTCTCAAAAATACATTTTCTTGAGTTGCATTTCCAGCTTGGCAAACAAAAAACTAGATTTACTGATTTACTGACACGAATTTCCACTCAATCACGCCATGAGGAAGGAAGGAAACAAACAAGAAAAAAGAGCTGAGGGTTTGTTTGCTTAAAAAAAAAACCCATCTTCAATAAAAAAGAACCGATGCTTTTTTTTTTTTTTTTTTTTTTCTGAAGGCAGGGGAAAGAAGGGGGTGGATGTGAAGCCATGGGCTGTTCTGCACTTCCACAACTTCCCAAAGGCTCAGTGGCTGCTGCTAGGGCCGCGGCGTTGGCTCTGTGTCAGCATGAGGGCAGGGGCTGCTGGCAGAAATGTTGCAGTGCTGGGAGCTGGGCCTTTGGTAAACAACTCCTCGTGCCATACAAAAATACACAGATATGATATATCTTTTCCCTGTGACATTTCCCATTGCACACAGAGCTCTGCCTGGGCGCTCGGTGCCAAGCTCCTCCTGCAGGATGAAGGCAGAGCCTGGTGCCTGTGCTGAGGAAGGTACAGACCAGCTGAAAGCCTTTCCTTTTGGGGGTCCTGGTGCCCACACAACCCACCCTGCTGTTCTCCCGTGGCTCCCTGCACCAAGGATGCAGGATGCTCTCGTGTTTGTGTGCACGGTCCGGTGCTGCTGCTGCTGCTGTCTGGTTGGGACTGGGGCCTCCCACATCTGAGCTGCATTGGGAGGCTGCCTCCCTGTGCTCCGCAGCAGGATGTGGGACATCATCCCCCTGCTGTGGCACTGGGGGCTGCCTGGGGTCCGGGGCTGTCCCCTGGACCTGCTGGGGCTGCTCCCTTCCCTGTGCTGCTTCAAACAGACAGAGCGATGTAAACCCCATGTGTTTTTATATGTACAACAGACGCTCATCAAC